GGTGTGTTTAGTGTTGTTGTTGTTTGTTTGATGGTAAACCAAATAGAGTTGATGTCTAGTGTAAATGTGGGGAGTTGATTTGTCTGGAGACTCTTTTTAACTGTTGTGAATGTTAGGAGAGTGTGAAACATGATGTGAACACAACGGTTCGACCTTTCTGTATTGTCTCTTAAGTATTACATGGTTTCTTCTTGAAACAAGGGGAAAAAAACAGAGCAGCTATCTTAATATGCGTGGGTCTATACACCAACAAACTCACTTGCAATATCTGTCCTATTTCCATTGGATCTAAAACAAGAACAGAACACAATAGAGTATCTTTTCTCTTCTGCTTTAACTTGTCCAATTCTGCCATTAAAATGTCAAAACTCTTGATTCTTGCGCACAAGACGCTCAGCATCTCCAAGCTCGACTTCGCTGCCTTTCATTTCCAATGTGCCGCCCTGAAACATCAACTCTATTTGCTCCAGTGACTTCCCGCTTGTCTCCGGGACAAGCATGTACACGAAAATAACCGAGAGCGCAGACACGAGGGAGAAGAGGAAGAAGGTTCCTCCTACAGTGATGGCACGTGACACGGAGAGGAAGGACATTGCCACCAGACCGCTGCACACCCTGTTCCCAACCGCCCCAAGCGCTGAGGCCTGCGCTCTTAGTCGTAATGGGAAGATCTCTGACGTCAAGACCCAACAAACAGGTCCCATCCCTATAGAGAAGAAGGCAACATTCCCGCAAATAAACAGGAGCGCAAACGTTATGCCGAGCGTTCCTTGGCCGAGAAATGTGAGGGTGAAACTTAGACAAAAGAGACACAAAGTCATTCCGATCGTGCTCACATAAAGCAGCGGTTTACGGCCAACGCTATCGATCAGGAAGGTGGCGAAGAGTATGAACACCGTTTTGGTGATCCCAACAGCGACAGTCGCGGCGAGCAGCTTGGTCTCGTCTTGTATCCCGGCCTCTTTCAAAATCTCCGGACTATAGTAGACGGTGGCATCGATTCCTGTGATCTGCTGGAAACACTGGATCCCAAATCCAACGATCAGCATTTTGCGTACAACAGGAGATGGGCTTAGAAGCTCACGCCACACCGGTCTCTCCTCGCTGCCTTCTGTCTTTGCGGCCGCCAGTAGTATCTCAGCGAGCCGTTCTTCCACTTCGTCATCTCGCTCATTCGTTTTCATGAGCACCTCTCGTGCTCTATCCACTTGGCCTTTCATCACCAACCACCTCGGCGATTCAGGGATCACGCACAACGCAAATCCTATGAAGACCGAAGGAAGAATCCCGACTGCGAGCATGATCCTCCAGCTGATATGCGCGGAAAGCCCCGAGAAGGCGTAGTTGGAGACATAGCCTAGCAATATCCCAAGATTTATGAAGATCTCAGGAAACGACGTGAGAAAGCCTCTTGCTACGGTGGGGGATATCTCAGCAATGTAGACCGGAGCAATCATGACACCGAGCCCGATCCCGATTCCAGCTAAAGTTCTTCCGATCATCAGAACCTCGAAGGAGGGAGCGACAGCCATCACTGCCGCGCCTGTCTGGAAGACGAGAGCAGCCAAGGCCATGGTCCATTTCCTGCCGATGGAGTCAGAGGTTCTTCCGCCGGCCAAGCTGCCGAAGAGAGAAATGATGCTGAGGCTGCCGATGAGGACTTCCGTCTGCACCTCCGTGATCTTGAGATCCTGCTGTATGAACAAGACCGCACCACTCATCACCCCAACATCTGGACAAGAACCGCAATACCAAAACAGAGGACAAGATTTTCTAAGCCGACAAGTAAATGAACAAGAATCGATTGAGATAATTACTAATATGGAAACTCACCGTAGCCGAGAAGAACATTGTTCAAGGACGCAAAGAAGGCGCAGGCCATAACGTATTTTCTGGTTCTGTTGCTTCTTGTCTCTCCGTCGTCCTGACGATATCCCTCCGCGTCGGAGTCCATTCGCTGATACTTATTCCTCTTGTTGCCGACAGAGACCGCCGGAAAACCCGAGCCACCGCCATTTCCGACCTCCGGCAGATTCATTTCCCTCCGCCGGAGAGAGAATTCAGACAAGAAGAAAGGCGTAGATCTTGGCAGATCTGAGCCGGAGCGAAACAGAGACTAGAATATCATCTTCTTTGTTTTGACCAGATTAGTGAATTTTCTATTCAGGTAAGCCAATTTTCAAAAGGCAACTTGACTAAGTTATTCATTTGTGTACCTTTTGTTTACATTATAAGTCATTAACATTACGCTCCGTTAA